GATGAACTAGTTCAGACAATGAATTGGGATCACGTACGAACAAAAAACACACTGATTGAAGAAATAAAACGGGCTGTTAAAAAAATCCCGGCCCAAAATGTTTTACATTCTGTTGAAAATTTTACTATACGTCTGCGCCTTATTTTAAAAAACAAAGGAAATTATATTGGTTGAATAAAATACACAGTTTTGTAGGGAATAAACGGCGATTCTTTTGGTAGAAAAATGAGTTCTGTAGGTTGAAAGGGAGAGGAGAAAAATCGAAAATAAAAAAGTGGACATTCTTTATGTTACACCCGTTACTGTATGTACCTTAAATTTTTCCAAATTATTCAAAACAATATCGTAACCAGTTACATTATGGATCCAAAAATGGGATTCAATATCTCGATCCTTATTTGATACGAGAACTTGAACATGAGGATTAGTAAACAACGAATATATATATTGAAGTTGTTCGATATTTGACTTTGTTAATGTCACATTAAATAATCTATTGACTGCAATAACGCATGTTCGTGGTGGAGTATTAAATAAATCATGGTGATCAGTCTAAAGTAAAACAAGAACTGGCATACAAATGTAATATAATAGCAAACCTTACATCATTGATATTTGCTGTTATGGTCCAGACTAAACCCGGCTCTGGTTTACCGTCAATTGTTTTTGTGTTTGGTTCAAGAAATGGTTCCCATACGAGCTTATTCTTATTAAATAAATATATGTCGATACCAACTGTTACTTTAACAATAAACTAAAATTCATGAAAGACTCGTTTAATCAGATATTTATGTTCATGTAATGTTCATGTTTACTTGACTTTTATGACAAAACAAGCAATGCTTTCCGTCATCGGTAAATATTTGTAAAACCACCTATATAATTAGAGAATAGGCGTAAACACTCTGTTCAGTTGTTTGCATATACACTGACCTTGTCAAAATTCAATTCAATATCAATATTTGACAAATAAAATGATAATAAACCTATTGTTGTTGTCGAATTGTTAGTACTACTAACAGTGTCAAGTGTAATGTCAATTGAATTACAAGAAAATTTTATCTTAAAAAGATGATGATTTAAAATAGTGTATAACAGATACAAAAGTAAATACCGTGTGTTTTTTTACTGTCTTCATTCGTCTGCAGTTGTAGGGTATTGCGTTTTCACTTGCTTTGATTATAAAAATTTTCAGTTTTTTGATTTTCTCTAAAAAGTAATGTCTAACTCTTACCTATAATTGTAGTAAATGGAAATAGTGAATCACTAAATGGTTTATGAACAGATAGATTTTGTAAATTCAGTTCGTTTTTCTTATTTGACATGTTCTAAACAGAGATATGATTTATATTATACAGTACTTTAAGTCATAGATGGATATTACCTGGAATGAGTGTAATGTTTCAAAGAGATTATAAACTATCGCTATTGCAGCTGGTATAAAATGGAAGTAAGCATCATTTAAATGGATATCCAATTCTTGATGTTTATCACTAACAATCACTTTCAGTGTAGCGTCAGTAGGAGGGATAATCTATTAATGAAATTAAAAAGAGAATAACGGATAAAACTTCTCCTTCTACTCAATAGGGCTGACTGATTACTTATTACTTGATATAACTTTATCAAGTAAAGTAACAACAATTCGTTACTTGTTACCAGCAATTAGTAACAAGAGACGCTAGTTTGGTACTTTGTTACAAGTAACGAACTTGTTACCGGTAACAAACACAGTAACAAATCTTTGTTATTTTGGTTTCGTTACCTTGTTACTTTCGGTAAAGTAACGACGGAATAAATTCTTCTAAAACACGAGTGTTTATCACTCCTAATATGTTCTTCATACTCCTTATTAAAATTTATCATCTTGTTTCTTCATTAAAATTAACAAAACTTTGTATTATTGTTACTAATAACAAGTAACAATTCCATTACTTATTAATTGTAACTAAGTAACAAACGAACATATATTGTTATACTAAATTATTGTACGTTGATATTTTGAATCAGTTTTGAACACATATGACTGAGTTATGAACTTTTTAATTTTCGGTGAAAATAGTGAAAATGGATTATTTCGTCTAGTGTAGATTTTTACCAGTTTTCTACAGCTTCTACGAAGAATAAAGATTACCATGAGATTTAGGATGATAGGAAACCTATCCATTTATTTCGGAGATTAGCAAACATCAAGATACCCGCTAGGAGTGGCTTCGGAGAAATTCTGCCACGCCTGAACGATGATAGATAAAGGTTTTGGACTTGCACGGATGTGGAGTATAGAGATTAGTGTATGTTCTGCATATTTTGAAACTATAGGCTATTATGAGAACATACAAAACGGCAACTTACCTACGGAAGATTAACCAGGTACACCACCTGCAGGAAGGGTTTTGGACCTGATTTTTTACTAATAGATTTCCCCCACTGTCTTCTATAAACTGGCGACAATCGCACTTCGTTACCGTTTGTGTATTAAAAGTTGTTCTGAAAAGAGTTTTGTCTATTATATTTGAAATGGATAATAGTAATTAGTAACAATAGATGTTAGTTTGTTACCTTGTTACAAGTAATGGAATTGTTACTTGTTACTATTATCGTTTTCAAAAAGCAATGTCCCTGGTTATTTTTTGAATAACTCAAAAGGAATAGAAGATAGAGCCTTGCGGTTTTCAGCATTCGCTAGCCAAGACCTGAAGCTATGTTTTTATAA